CAAGCGTACACTGGGCATATGTGGTTAGCGTCAAACCCTAATTTTTAGGGTTTGAGCCCTGCTTAAGCATCATTATCTCATTGACACCCCTTCATTCATCAGCCTTCATCTCCCAAAATACCCCTTGCAAAGAGTGGATTTTTGGTGTTCGTGGGAAATCATTTTGGAAGCTCAAGACATATTGGATCGAGAAGTACCTCACCCTCAAGCATCCTTTCGAGGTATAAAGTTCGGATCTTGATGCATGCTTGCTTTGGATCTTGCTAGTTCTTAGGTTTTTATGCTTTTTAGTCCCATAATCTTGGTGTTCATGAGTATGGCTTACTCTAACCCATTAGGTCCATCCTTCCAGACGTTTTTAGGTGCTTAGAACCATAAAAATGTGATCTTGGTCCCTTTCCTTTCTTCATGCATGAGATATGAGGTTTTGGTTTGTGTATTAAGTTAAGGTTCAGTTGTTGGACCCTTTCTAGCCTTGGAAAGTCATAAATTTGGAAACTTTATGACTTAGAATGTTATGTGAAACTAGATCTGAGTTTTAGATGTGGTGTTTTAATAGAATAAGCACTTAATAGAGAAAAAGGAAGTCAGTTGAGTACGTTGGGTGTACGTGGTGGTATGTTGCACGTACCTGGTTGGGATTTTGTAATCTCACTAAGGGTTTACTACGATGGGCGTAGTGGTTAAGTACGTCGAGCGTACTCAGTGTAAGTTGACTTTGTTGACTTTTTACCTTTGACTACAATTTTGACCAAGTTTGACTTAAGGGTATTTTGGGTATCTCAAATTGTAGTTTGAGTTTAGGTTACTTTTTGTTGTATAGGTGACATATAGAATTGACATTTGGAACAACGTTCTTTTCTGCTATCTTTTCAGACTGTAAGGTGAGTTTCCTCACTGTACTCGTGGGTCAAAGGCACCAATGTCGGCCCATTCGATTATATATCATGTTATATAGGATGTTGCTATCATGTAGTTATCTGTTAGATCTGTATGATAATCTGTTAGCTGGTTATATGTTTATTTGTTGCATATGTCGACATAGTGTAGTTGGGTTGAGGCAATAATGTTATGTATGGAAGCCAACAAACCCGTGAGAGAGCCATACATAAGTTGTGGGCCAGAAAGGCAAGCTAGACTAATGTTGTGGGCTCGGGAGCAATCCAGACATGAGTTGTGGGCTAGAAAGGCAAGCCAAACTCATGTTGTGGGCTCAGGGGTAGTCCAGCTCGATGGCTGTGGGTACAATATGCATGGTATTATATGTTTATGTGGTGGTATTTTGGGAAACTCTCCAAGATTTGGCTTACGGTTTAAGTGTTATGTCTCAGGTACTTCAGATGATCGGGGGGAAGCAAATGCGTGATCGTATACATCCTTCGGTGTCATGTTTTGGAGATGTTATGTACATTAATTTTGGAATATATGTATTTGATCTTGGGTTCTTATGACTTGGGTTTAATTGAAAACAATGATGTCTCTTTAATTAAAAATAAAAAATTTTATTGTGATTTCGGGATGTTATATTTTATCATATTTTAGCCATATCTGGCTGAACCCTAGTTTTCAGTTCTGCAAAAGTCTAGTATTTTTCATGTAATCAGTTATCAAATTTGCTTTTCATTGTGTGCTTCTATCTAGATTTCTCAATTTTGCATTTAATGAATGTTTGATTTTGATTCTTTATAACCTGATCACCTAATTCGGGTTTAATAAATCCAATTAATCCGTTAATTGAATCTATAATTGTTCTTGTCAACTGGTAATAAGTAACAAGTATCAGATTGGTTCCGTGTTGGGATTTAACTCCGATATAAACTTAAAAGTCATATATTTACGCTTCTGAGCTTGTGAGAAGTATTGGGTATTGCTAAGAACTTTACATAGATCTTAATGCAACTTTTCTGATCTTAATTAAGAGATTGTTTAATTAGACAATAAAAAGTTAGGGTTAATTGAAGAGCTTGTTTTGGTTAATTTAACAAGATAAAAGACATTATACTAGAGATTGCTAGTTTTTCTCAGTACCAGCTTAGATAGAACGCATTTTGAATAACCAAATCTAGGCTAATTGCATGACTAGAAAAGTCACAATAGAATTGAATTCGTTTTAATTACCGATTTCGATTAGTTTATTTCCCTACAATTTTAGTTTAGTTTTAATCAAAAACCCTCTTTTTATTATTTTCAATTAAATAACTAGAATGTGCCTTACGCAAAGAGGCATTGACCATTAGGTTGTGTCCCTGAGGATTCAACCATGCTTTCCTTTGCTATCACATTAGTGCAACCAACAGTGATAATTTATTTGCTTAAATCCTGCGCGACAGCGGTTTAACAGTTTGTTTCAGACTTTCGTGAAGAAAGAAGAAAGAAGGAAGATTGTTGATTGCCTCATTCAAACAATATTGTTGCAGATTTACTTCATGCCCCATGCGTAAGCAAAAAAGAGACTGAAGAGTTTTTTCTTTTCCCGAAATTTCTTTGCTTTTTTCGGCTCCTTCTATCTTGTTTGCGTCGACTTATTTTTGTTGCTTTAATTTTTTTTTGGGCCATTAACTGAACAGAGGGTGATATAAATTCTAAAAAACAAATTGGGCCCTCCGATTTTTTGAGGCCTCGTTCACAAGCACCTTGTGAACTTGCCAAGGGTTGGCCCTGTGTTGGTATTTGTAGTTTGGTAATTTTTAGTTTTGTTTTGTTTTGTTAATTGTTTAATATGTTGGTAATTTTTAGTTTGGTTATAGTTTGATATGTTGGTATTTGTAGTTTGGTAAATTGCTAGTTAGTTATATTTTGATAATTGTTAGTCTAGTTATGTTATAGTCATTGCTAGCTAGGTAATAGTTTGATATGTTCGTAACCATTAGTTTGATAATAGTTTATATCTTGGTAATTGTTACTTTAGTTATAGTTTGATATGTAGGTAATTTGTAGTTTGGTATTTGTTAGTTTGGATATATGTTGGTAATTTATAGTTTAATAATAGTTAGTTTTATAGTTTGATATATTGGTAATATAATTTGTACTTTGGTTATATTTTGGTAAGTTGTTGGTTTAACTTATAAGATTATGTTGTTTCTTTTGTAGTTAGATATGCTTTAAACAATGTTAAAAGATCCGGCATGTAGTGTGGCACAAGAAGAATGGTTTCGATCATTGCCACCGCGAAATGATACCAGGGGGAACGAGGAGAGTGATGATGACATGTAGCTACTTGTAGAATTTATGTAATGTTTTGTTAGAATTAAAACATAACTTGCACTTAATTTTTGGATTAATACTTTGGAACACCGTATTGTTAAATTTTAATGTTTCGATCTATTTTCTACCGTTAATATTTCGTAGCAGTTTTATATTTTTTTTTTTACTATTTCTTCTACATTTTTAACGTTAAATAATAAAAAAACTAAAAAAAGAGAACACTACTAGTAGTGGTGACACCTTTAGTGGCGAAGGAGAGCATTAGCGGCGACAAAGCATTAGCGGCGACAAAGAGCATTAGGGGCAACATACCTTTAGCGGCGGCAGAAGACAATAGCAGCGACCATTGAAGCATTAGCGGTGAACCAAAAATAATGACCCTTTAGTGGCGAAATCTACCCCGCTAATACCTTTAGCGGCGACATTGTGGTCCTTTAGCGGCAACGCCCATCGCCACTAAAGATTGATATTCTTGTAGTGTAGTGAATGGATGAATGGTGTATCGACCAGCGATTATACGAAATTCATATGACTCTAGCTTCTCACTAGCATTATTGTTACGGGGGTGTTTGGCTAAGCTTAAAAAGAAGTTCTATTAACTTATTGTCGTTTCCGCAACTATATAAGTTAAAATTAGTGTTTGTATAAATTGTTTTATTAATAGCTTATAACGGTGTTAAACTGAAGGTAAGTCATTTTTGATAAGTTACTAACTACTAACTTATCAAAACTTCCTATAACTTATAGCTTTCTAACATTTGTGAGAAGCCTTTTTCTTTTGTCATTTTGTCAAACACTAAAAATCCTATGGATGTGTTTGGTACGGAGCGTTTGAGAGCTTCTAGCTTCTAGCGTTTGACAAAACGCTCTATTTTGAACAAAAAACATCGTTTGTCGCTACAAGTTTCTAGCGTTTTGTTTAAACAAAACGTTCAAAATCCAAAAGCTACTTCACTTAACGTTTAATAAAACGCTACCCGCTATCAGCTACCCGTTAATCGCTACCAGCTACCCGTTACAAGCTAGTTTTTGTCGAACGCGCCCATAAGCTTAGCCAAACACCCTTCTTACTTTTCAAAAAAATAGGTATGAGATCATGCAAAAATTAAGTTTCTAAAATATATAGTCGTGTACATCGCTGGTTGAATATCATGGTAATCATTGAAGTTGATTCTTAACCAACTCCATTCTTTAAGGCCCAATTGATTAAACTATGTATTTACCTGGTCAACTCATGACTTAATCCAACTCTGTTCATTATAAAACCCTATCAATGTATACATAGAATATATATAAAATATTGGATGATTGCTAGAGACCTGACTTACTGATGATTGGTTGAAACTTGACTTCGTGTCGTCTCTCGATTCTTTGTAAATTTTCCACGACTGTCAGTTTGTCTTCCTCATCATTCGATGTTTGGCTTTCTTGTTTCTTATTGTCGTCTTTCGTTTCTTAGTCATATTACGATGTTGTTACTAATGCCTGCTACGATTTACCGAGAAGGTGTACGCGACGTTTCTTTGTTATGGATATAGATAGTAGAAAGAAATGTCGTAGATTGGCATATAATTGGTGTAAATCTCACATCAAATGTTTCAAACAGGTTTGATGTTCTTCATAATCCTAGCTCTTCGCTAGTGTTGTTTTTAATGGTAATTATTTCTTTGTTTGTTACAAAACCTTTACTGAAATTATTTGAACTTCAGGATTTTTTTTTCTTTTGGTTTGACCTCCAAAGTGTATAATAAAAAGCATTTAATACATAAAGCATATACATCTGATTAAGATCAGCAAGCGTACAGAAAATTATTAATGAATAGAGAATTAATACACCTAAAATCCAGTAAAATGTTTAGAATGCGGTCTTGTACAATAGCATCTACAGAATGTTGCAACCTCCAGCATCACGGATTGGCGGATACCCATATACAAAATGTCCATATCCATCATAACAAGGAGTGTTACAATACATCATTGGAAATCCAACAGGTTTATTGACTTCCGTCCCTTTCTTTTTGTATGGTCCAACACTTACAATATTAGCAACCTTCCGTTTCTTTCTCAAGCTAGTTGCGACGCAAACAGGGTCAACATCCCCAATCACAACTAACATCTCCTTCTGTAAATCCACGGATACCTGATCAACACCAGATAATTTAGCGACAGTCTTCATTACCTCCTTCCTGCATTTTTGAGAATGCATGCTAACTTTCACCTTTATCTCCTGCGTTTGTGCATGCGTATAGAAGAATAACTAAGTAGGAGGGGAAGAAAATTATATGAAGTCTAGCGGAAGGGGATGCAGCTGTTCTAAAAAGTACTCTAAAAGAAAAGAGAGAGAAAAAAAAACGGTATAAGGTAGGGGGATGTGCAACGAAATGGAAATTACCTGAGGCATAGCACGTTAATTAAGAAACCAACGGTTCAAACCTTAAATGTTCATGATCAAAACCATGTAAAATTTATATAAGCATTCTTTTGTTGACAACATCATCTTACCTAACAAATGTACTATGGATATTGAAAGACTTTTGACTCTTACGATGTCGATTTGGTGAGGATTTTATCTACAATAAATACGTAATTTAACGTGTTAGAAATTTGTGCAAGTTTTAGAAATTTGTGCAAGTTTTGTCTTGTTCACACTTACAAGCATTTAATCTGGTGAGGATTTTATCTACAATAAATACGTAATTTAACGGGTTAGAAATTTGTGCAAGTTTTGTCTTGTTCACAGTTACAAGCATTTAAAACTATTCTCAATCGATGACAAGGGTAATAGTTTTCACATTTAAAGCATCCTTAATGCATAGTTTAATGAGGGGAGTTGAATGAAATGACATGTCTAATTGGCATTCAATGGATTAAACTCTACAATTGTGAGATACCATGTTGGCATTCAACGCATATGGAGTTCAATGGTCATTGAACTCTTCAATGGGAAAAAGAAAACATTTGAACTATTAAATATATATTCTATTAAGCTTTATTGAGTTCAATGCATTGTAGAAAAATTAATTTATAGTTATATAGTAAGTAAAATGATGATGTCTCAATCTATTAAACTATAATAAGTTTAATACATTGTGGATGCACTTATAATTATAATATATATATATATATATATATATATATATATATATATATATATATATATATATATGTCATACTTATAATTAATCGTCTCCCTTACTACTTTTGTATGTGAGTAATCTTCCCGGTGACACAAACAAAAAGGAGATATGGTAAGAATAATTCAAATACAACAATATGCATATCAATTTAGGAGTAATCAAACTTAATCAATCTTATATAGTCCATATGAATGCTCTGTGAGAATATGGGTCGGCTTGTGGATGTTTACCTTGCAGGAAGAAGAGACTCGTCGGGTTCCTTTTTTTCCTTTGTAAAATTTGATGATGAAAAAAACACAAAGGCTATCGAGATAGCTCTTAATGCAACTAAACAACGGAGAAGGAAGTTTTATGTCAATCTTGCCAAACATCCCAGGAAGAAGGGACATGTTGGTGTTGGTGGCGTCAGGAGGCCATCTGATTGCAGAGCCAAGCCCCTGTCTTGTGACATCATGCAACCAGAAAAGTTAGGGATATGAGGTCCTTTGTTGATGGTATCAAAGGTGTGCCGCCACAAACCTTCTCTCCTCCCCTGGAGCTCTCGTTTATCAAGTAGGTGTAGGATTGGGCATGAAAATCAACGTTAGCACGGGAGGTAAGAAATTTTGATCTACTTTGCAATTTTCCATCGTTGCTCGAGTTGGAAGGATACGATGTCACTGAAACCAAATACTTGGGGGGGATGCAAGTTATAATGATGTTTAAAGAAGATAGCTCCGCCAACATTTTTAAGGCAAACAAATGTATCTGGCTTAGATGATTTGTGTGAGTTGAGCAGGTGGGAAAGGATTCTAGACGTTACGAGAGAATAACATGGATAAAAATTATGGGGATGCCCAACATTGGCTCTGTTGCTCGTATGTTCGGAAAAGTACTTATCAACATTTGTCCCTTCTGGAAGTATAATGACGTGTCTCATGGAAAATATGTATTCTCACTGATTCAAGGAAAAAACTTAATGAAGAGATCACAATAAAAATTCACAAGAATCCTCCACACAGGATGAGGGTGTATGAAGTGGATGATGATTGGTTTCCATTCAAGAAGGTCGTCACAGGGAGGCATCAGATTTTGAGGATGAGCTCGACGACTAAGACAGGATCTCTGATACGTGGCATCAATACGGAGAAGATTTGGAAGAAGGTGAGATTGGACTAGAGGGGTAATCTCATTGGAACATTAGGACTAACGCGTCTCCGTCGAAGCTGGCTATTCTGGGGCCTTCGACGTCTGAGGACTGGGGTGAAATGCATTTTCTAATATATGGGGAACATGATGCATCTCATGACACTATAAGAAGAACAACGTTTACAGACGACACCTATCCAAACGACATATGTCATCAGAAAAAGTTGAGCTATACCGACGACATGTCGTCGGTATAGCGTTTTCAAACTTTGACCATATGTCTTTGACCTGAAAAGCTATGCCGACGACAAGTCGTCTGCATAGACTCGGCGGGAAGGGGCAAAATACTGGCGGTATATCGAATATCTATGTCGACCACATGTCGTCGGTATTGGGTATTAAAAAAATATTTTCGATTTATTTATATTCCTTGTCGTAGAAAATCAAGACGTCGTCATTTTCATCACCCTATGCCGACGACATGTCGTCGGTATAGGGTGTTAAAAAAATACTTTCGATTTATTTTTAATCCGTGTCGCAGAAAAGGAAGACGATGTCGTTTCGTACACCTATACGGACGACATGTCGTCGGGAAAAAGTGGGACCGATCCGTGTGAAATATCTGTCTAGACGATATGTCGTCTGGAAAACCCTTTATTTATTTTATTTTTAACAACGTAAAGTGGAACGTCGTCGTTTTCTTTTTCCTATACCGACGACTTGTCGTCGGTATAGGGTTTCCTATAACAAAACTCGCTTCCAACGTTCATTTTGCAGTCGCTTGCACCTCCTTTTCCCTCTCAACCTTCGGCGACGCTGGGCGATTTCCGGCCTCTCCGCTTCATCGGCGACCTAAAGGCACGGTTCTTGGTCGTTGATTTCTTCTTAATTTGTAATAGCTTGAGTTTTTACTCCAATTTTGGGGGATTTATTTCCGGTTGTTGGAGCCCTAAATCACAGCCTTCATCTCCGTCGGCCGGCAACAACCTTCACCACCACCAGAGAAAACGATTTCCAGTGATTGAGCTATCTTCACCACCGATTTTGAGGTAAGTTTTTTGATTTTTTTCTCGTGCTTAACACACCACAGTATGTACGTGAATGCAATTTTTTTTTCCTTTCAATACACCATGATATATACTTTCTCAGATTTTGTTTGGTTGATTGCTTATATATATATATATATATATATATATATATATATATATATATATATATATATATATATATATATATATATATATATATATATATATTTTGAGGTATGAAAGTTTGTTTTGGCATGAAAATAAAAATGAAGTTAGCCATGATTTGTTTATGCTCATTGTGGTGTATTGGCATGAAAATGAAATTAAGAATCATGTTAGATTTTGTATTTAGATGTATACATTTTTATGACATTGAAATTTGATGTCTAAAATGTAAGGTGTTATAAGGTATGATTGTATGAAATTGGATGAAAAGTGGAATTGTATGTTTGATTTTGATTTTGTATGATGTTTGATTTTGTATGTAGATGTATACATTTGTATTGTATGTCTAAAATGAAATGAAAATTGGAATTGAATGTAATGTATACATGTATGATTATGTGATATTTAGGTTTAATAGTTTGAGTGTATATAAGATAAAGTGATAAAGTTCTTAATTGATAAGTTATTGCTTTTGTATTTCGATGTTATTGTTTGTATTGTAAAGTGCTTAATATGGTTTCAAAGTGCTTAATTTTGTTCGTGACTTAATGTTGGTTATTATGCCTTTAGATTAATTAGGTTATTAATAACAACGTACTTTAGTAATTTTAAATTAATTATAAAATAAAGTTGAATTAATTTTTAAAAAAAATCAATAAAAAGAAAATATTAAATTAAATGTAAAATCAAATTAAATTAGTTTTAAAATCAAATCAATATTAATTTTAAAATAAAATCAAATTAATTATAAAATCAAATTAAATTAGTTTTAAAATCAAATTAATATTAATATTAAAATAACATAAAATTAATTATAAAATTAAATTTAATTAATTAAAAAAACAAATAAAAAAATAGAATATATTAAATTAATTATAAAATTAAATTAATTTAATTTTAAAGTCAAATTAAATTAAATATTAAATCAAATTAATATTAATATTAAAATAAAACTAATTATAAAATCAAATTAAATTAATTTAAAAAATTAAACTAATAACAAAGAAGAAAATATTAAATTAATTATAAAATTTAATTTAATTTTAAAATCAAATTAAATTATTTATATAATCAAGTTAAATTAATTATTAAATCAATTTAATATTAATACTAAAATAAAATAATACTAATTATAAAATCAAATTAAATTAATTTAAAAAATTCAACTAATAACAAAGAAGAAAATATTAAATTAATTATAAAATTATATTAAGTTAGTTTTAAATCAAATTAAAATAATGATAATATCAATTTAAATTACTTATTAAAACAATATAATAATAATATTAAAATAAAATAAAACTAATTATAAAATCAAATTAAATTAGTTTCAAAAATTAAACTAATAACAAAGAAGAGAAATATTAAATTAAGTTAATTATAAAATCAAATTAAATTAATTATAAAATCAAATAAAACGATATATTTTTTAAACCAAAGTATTATTATAATATTAAAAGTACGATGCTATAATAGAAAATAAACAAAAATATGATGTTATAATTAAAAAAATCATGATACTTTTGTTAATTATAACATTATACTTTTGTTTATTTTCTGTCATAACATCGTACTTTTAAAATTATGGTTTAAATAACGTACCGTATTATATGATTTTCTTATTAAAACATGTTGAATCATTGATTTTTAGTTTAAGTTTCTTCTTCATAAACATTGTGAATACTCTATCCATTCCATCTTATTTTTACTTCTCGAGTATATATTTTTTATATACTTGTGAATACTCTATCCATTCTCGGGTATATATTTATTTACATATCCCAAATACAATCTAACTTTCGATAACTATATATATATATATATATATATATATATATATATATACAGAGAGAGAGAGAGAGAGAGAGAGAGAGAGATAGGTTCAGGTGTTTAATGTATCTATTGTGTTATTGTATGCATAAATATGCCAATCAAAATTTAAAATAAAAATAAATAATTAAATAAATCAATGAGGGTTATTTAGTAAGGGAAATCTCCAGAAAAGTCCTAAAATTTTACCCTAATTTACGAAAAAGTACCAAACTAAATTTTGTTTACGAAAAAGCATGAATTACCGGTAAAAATGGCGATTTGACTCCTTTTTCCCGGTTTACCGGTTTCATTACTTACCTGTTTCATTAAAGTCACATTATTTTATCCTAATTTACGATTAAGTCCTAAACTAAAATTTAGTGATGATTTGGCCCTTTTCTCTATGTAACATACATTTTACTGGTTTCATTGCTGACCCGGACGCCTAGTCATTAAATGAGATAGTAAGATGGATATGTTGAGTTATATAATGCTATGTTTAACATAAAACTTCATATCCTGATGTATTGTATATTCTTTTGGAACATAAAATGCATCCAACAAAGATTGCAATAATTACATAAACTAGCAACAACTTAGTTATTTTTTACGTTTATAAGAAATATCAAATTGTCTATCTAATCTTATGTAATCCAATATATCCATCTCATGAGACATCGACTCATTTTCTGCCCTTTTTTCCAGGAAACACACATTTTATTGGTTTCATTACTGACCTAGATACATAGTCATAAATGAGCCGATGAGATGGATATCAAATTTTACAGTAAATGTAGCATTATATAACCCATCGTATCCATCTTATCAACTGAGTTAATGACTAGCTGTCTAAGTCAGCAATGAAACCGATAAAATATATGTTACATGACGAAAAGGGTCAAATCATCACAGAATTTTAGTTTGGGACTTATTCGCAAATTAGGGTAAAATAATGGGACTTTAGTGAAACTGGTAAGTAATTAAACCGGTAAACCGGAAAAAATAGGTCAAATCGCCATTTTTACCGGTAATTCATGCTTTTTCGTAAACAAAATTTAGTTTGGTACTTTTTCGTAAATTAGGGTAAAATTTTAGGACATTTCTGGAGATTTCCCATTTAGTAATTTGATAAATGAATTCTATAAATAGTCCCTTTATTTTAGGGATCCGTTTATTATTAACCCTATTAAAATCCACCTCCACCGTAGTAGGATCACACCGGTGAACTAAATCCTAAATCCGCCTCTTTCTTCCTCTCTGCGTCGTAGGTCACTTTCCTCATTGTCTCCATCACCAATTAATCGTCCTCCTCTCCACTGCTTCTTCCGCCTAATACCATTTACAGT